GGGCCTACTGCTGGCCAGCTGGGAGACTGCACCCACACCCACTCGTGTCCAGCTGCACCCACTCAGTGGCAGGACCCACACGGGCTCCTCTGGCCAGGTGGTTTCTTCCCACCAGGTAGGGTAGTGAAAGATGGTAGGGCCCCAGCTTCTAGGATTGAGTGGAACATCAGACCCTCACGAACCCGTGTACCTTCCCACCAGGGCTTCTGTGAGAGCAATCTCTCCCACACCTGGAGAGTCTCTCTCTCTCTCTCTCTCTCTCTCTCTCTGGTCCTCTCTGTCCAATTCCTTCACTTCCCTTTGGATTCTCCAGTTCCCCCCACCTCTCCATTCCCTCCACCCAGGTACTGATTTGCATTTTCATTAGCATGCTAATCCAGCCCCTCTGGAGCTTCTTAATGGCTATGACTTCACGCCTGGCTGGACCCCCTGGAGGAGGGAAGGGAATAGGGGCCTGCAGGCTGCTTGGGACCAGACCCAGGAACCCATTCCCAAACCAGAAATCTGGAGGTGGCCCAAGGAAAGTGAAGCCGTGCCCTCCACCCTTCCCTGAAGCCCTCTGGACAGAACTCCGGAAGTGTGCTCATTGGCCAGCTGCTGTTAGGGCCTGGGGAGAGCTGGGAAGGAGGTAGATGGGCTGTTGGCACCTGGGAGTGGTAAGGTATGGAGGCCTGGGGAAATCTGGGGAGTAGCTGGGAGACTTGGTGCTTCTGGTCAGTGGCAGGCAACCAGGAATCCTGACTTCCAGGCCTGGCAAGGCTCCTGTTTGCCTGTATTGGGTCTGAGGGACGGTCTGGCAGGAGGAGGGGCCCAGGCCACCGCGTGGGGAGAACCCTGTGCCTAGCCGGTACTTTTCTGGTTCCGCCACCTTGGAGCTGTGTGGTCATCAGCAGCTCATCTGACCTCTTTCGTTGGCTGCCTGAATCATCTATAAAATAGGGTTGCCCTTGTGAGAGTGAATAGTTGACGCAAAGCATGATGTGTGTGCCATACTAGCCGTCAGTAACATTAGCACTGTCACATGTTATTATATCTTTTGGGGGAGGAGAAGGCAGCGTGCAAGCTGTTGTCTTTCAACTGGCTGAGGAAGCTCCCACGTATTCCACATGGTTGAAACCAAAGATAGATCTAGAAGGCACCAGACAACCGCACAGTGCCCACGGGCCAGGGGGAGTCAGTTGTGGCTTCTCTCTGGCCAGAATCTGAGGGTCTTCCCAGAGTTCACCCCTTCAAAAGACAAACATTGACTGTGCTCACGACAGAGCAGTCAGGGAAGCACAAGGTGCCTGCTCTGATAGAACTCACCTTCTAGGAACACTGGGAATACCAGGTAGCACAAGATCGCTGAAGAAAGTAACTCTGGGACTGATTCAGCTTCTGTCGAGAGGAAAGACCTGTTGGAGGAGATATTTGTTTATAATTTTTATTTATTTGCTTGAGAGAGAGAGAGAGTTCCCACCTACTGGTTAACTTCCTAAATGCCCACAACTGGTCCCAAAGCCAGGAGCTGGGAACTCAGTGTGGGTCTCCCATGTGGGTGATGAGGACCCAACTACTTGAGCCATTGCCACTGCCTCTCCGGGAAAGCTGGAATGGATCCGAAGTACAGCCAGGGATCCGAACCCACACTCTCTGCTCTGGGATGTGGGCATCCCAGCTGGTGTGGTGACCAGCAGCCACCCAGCTGCCCTTGCGGAAGTGGTGTTTAAGCACAGAACTGAACGTCAAGGGGCCACCACACAGAGACTGGGCAGTCGGCCAGGCTGAGTAAGCACCGGGCAAGGGCCTGAAGGTGGCCATGAACTTGGTGTGTTTGAGAATCAGGAGGAAAGCCAGTGGGCTGGAGCGAGCTGGCAGGGCGGCTTGGAGAGCGAGAGATGGTTCAGAAGGACCTTTTTGTAGATCAGGAAGAGTTTAGATTTGAGTCACAGTGCCATGAGAAGTCACTGGTGGGTTTTAAGCAGAATACAGTATGATTAACTAAAAGATGAGTTTTTTAGGATGCCTGAAATTTGCTTCTAAACAATGCACAAAAGGCAGGGAAGTGGGTGAGGATATAGATGAGACAAGGTAGGCCATGGATTGATAAATTTTTTGTGAAGATTTATTTATCTATTTGAAAGGCAGAATTACAGGGGGCAGGAAGGGAGAAACGGAAACAGCATCATCTACTGGTTCATTCCCCAAATGGCCAGGACAACAGCGGGAGCCAGGAACTCTGTCCAGGTCTCCCACGTGGATGGCAAGGGCTCAAGCACTTGGGCCATCTTCTGCTTCCTTCTCAGACACACTAGCAGGGAGCTGGATCGGAAGCGAAGAGCCAGGACTCAAACCAGAGCTTGAACATGGAATGCTGGTATTGCAAGCTTAACCCGCTGCACCACAGCACTGGCCCCGGGTTGATAACTGTTGAAGCAGGGAGGTGGGTTGTAAGGGTGTTCTGTGTACTAATTTGGCCTACTCTTAGCTATGTTTGCATTTTCATAATTGAAAATGAAAAGAGCATTCTGGCTGCTGAGTGGAGGGAATACATCGTAGGGCAACGTTGGAAACCAGGGGTCGACGTGGAGTTTGCTGTGTTTGTCCAGGGAAGAGATGATAAACAGCCAGGCCAGGGCGGTGCTTGTGGGGGAGGTGAGTGGACTTAGCAGAAGCTGAGAGAACACGAAGGTTGCAGCTGAGGCAGGTGGATTAGTGTAGGTGCCAACTTTCAAGATGGGAAGGACAGGGAGAAACAAAGAGTTGTGACTTCCGACATGTTCGCTAGAAGCCGTGTGACGCGGCAGGCTGCTGAGTGGGCGCCTGCGTGTGGTGTTCAGGGAGCAGGATGGGGCCCCGCAGCCTCACGGCACTGCTTTCTCCATGTTTCCCTGCAGGTCCCTGGCTGTCGCGCTGAAATGAACCCCCAGCACTCCTCCGTCTACGATGGCCACCCTTAACTCAGCCTCTCCCACCGGCACCACCCCCTCTCCCCGGCACAATGCCCCATCCCCAGCTCCGGACCCCGCCTCCTGCGGCACCCCCTCTGATCCTGTCACCAAAGATCCCCCTGCTGTCCCCTCCAGCTCTGAGAGCATGAGGCCCTCAGAGCCGGGGGGACAGCCCTCAGAGTCGGGCTGTGGCCTCGTCCCACCAAAGGAGACTGGGGAGCCCCAGGGAGAGCCTGGCAGTGGCGGCTTCCTAGCCGAAGGCCCCGGGGTGGACCAGGAGCAGCAGCAGGAAGGAGGGCTCCCTCCCCTGGACCTAAGCAACCACTTGTTCTTCACGGCGGGCGGGAATGCCTACCTGGTGGCCACGCTGCCCCTGCCAGGCGGCAGTGACCTCCTGTTACCAAAGGGCTTTCCCTGGGGCGAGGCAGGCGGCGAGCAGGAGCCCAGCCTGCCCCTCCTTGCCCAGCCGCCCCCCGCACACCTCACTGCCCTTCATGTCCAACGTGGCTTTGACCCAACCCAAGGCTTTAGCTCTTCTGACCAAATTCTGTCCCAGGATACCTCAGCGCCATCTCCGGACGCCTGTGAGGGAAGGGATGGAGCCTTCTGGAGCTACCGGCTGGCTCCCAACCCACCCGGAGATCCCAAAGATGGCCCCACAGGGAGTGGCGGGGGAGGCCACCCGGCGCCCTTTTGGCTCTGCCTCCTGTGCCGCCTGGGCTTCGGCAGGCCCCAGGCCTTCGGGAGCCACGCACAGTCTCACGGGGTGACGCTAAGCCCTGCCCAACACCAGGGCCTGCCGGGCAGCCCAGCTGTGCTCTGGGAGGGGGACAAGGGCTGCACGGCCCTCATGAGCTTTCTGGAACCAAAACCCCCTGCCCGCGCCCCTCCGGAGATAGCCCCTCATGACGGCACCACGGTCAACGCAGAGGCGAACGCAGCCCAGACCGAGGTTGGCTCCCCCGAGGCAAGAGTCCAGGCCCTCGTCCTCCCCACTGAAGAAGTCATGGCCCTCAGCCCACCCTCCCCAGCCACAACCCCGGCCACCTGGGACCCCAGCCCAACCCAAGCCAAAGAATCGCCAGGAGCAGCAGGCGAGGCAGGGCCAGACTGGTTCCCTGAGGCGCAGGACGAGGATGGAGGGCCCTGCCCCCCACTCAACCAAAGCTCACCCACCTCCAAGGAGGGGGGCACTCTCCCCGCCCCCGTGGGCTCCCCGGAAGACCCCAGTGAGCCACCCCAGCCCTACCGCCTCGCTGACGACTACAGCCCAGTCCCTGCGGCCTTCCAGGGCCTCAGCCTGTCCAGCCACATGTCCCTGCTACACTCACGCAACTCCTGCAAGACACTCAAGTGTCCCAAGTGCAACTGGCACTACAAGTACCAGCAGACCCTGGACGTGCACATGCGGGAAAAGCACCCCGAGAGCAACAGTCAGTGCAGCTACTGCAGCGCCGGGGGCGCCCACCCGCGCCTCGCCCGCGGGGAGAGCTACAACTGCGGCTACAAGCCCTACCGCTGCGACGTCTGCAACTACTCCACCACCACCAAGGGCAACCTCAGCATCCACATGCAGTCGGACAAGCACCTCGCCAACCTGCAGGGCTTCCAGGCGGCACCCGCCGGCGGCTGCGGCGGCAGCGGTGGAGGTGGAGGTGGTGGCGGTGGCGGGCAGGGAAGTCCCCCAGAGGCCTCCCTGCCGCCCTCCACCGGGGACAAAGAGCCCAAGACCAAATCGTCCTGGCAGTGCAAGGTGTGCAGCTACGAGACCAACATCTCCCGCAACCTGCGCATCCACATGACCTCCGAGAAGCACATGCAGAACGTGCTGATGCTGCACCAGGGCCTGCCGCTGGGCCTGCCTCCTGGGCTGGTGGGGCCGGGCCCGCCTCCCCCACCAGGGGCTGCCCCGCCCAACGCGCCTGAACTCTTTCCATACTTTGGGCCCCAGGCCCTGGGGCAGCCCCAGGCCCCCTTGCCTGGCCCCGGGATGAGGCCCGACAAGCCCCTGGAAGCCCAGCTGCTTCTCAATGGCTTCCACCACCTTGGAGCACCTGCCCGCAAGTTCCCCACACCTGGTAAGCTCCGTGCGCCCTGTTCCTTGCTCCCCTTCTCCCCTCCCCTGGAGCCAAGCTCTACCTCCTGTTCTCTCCCAACGGCCAACCACCCACTTAGGTAACAACCAGAACCCCCCTCATTAACCCACCTCCCCGCATTGCAGAGTGGCCCTGCCCTGTGCCTTCCTCGGGCCACTGATCTGTCTCCGTCCCCCAGCCCCCGGCAGCCTCTCCCCTGATGCCCACCTGCCTCCAAGTCAGCTCCTGGGCTCCTCGTCCGACGGTCTGCCCACCTCGCCGCCCCCAGAGGACAGCCCATCCCTGAAGGTATTCCGCTGCCTGGTGTGCCAGGCCTTCAGCACGGACAGCCTGGAGCTGCTGCTCTACCACTGCAGCGTAGGCCGCAGCCTCCCCGAAGCCGAGTGGAAGGAGGTGGCCGGCGACACCCACCGCTGCAAGCTCTGCTGCTACGGCACCCAGCTCAAGGCCAACTTCCAGCTCCACCTCAAGACGGACAAACACGCTCAGAAGTACCAGCTGGCGGCCCACCTGCGGGAGGGTGGTGGGGCCCTGGGCGCCCCCTCCCCGATGCCCCTGGGAGAGGGGGCTCCGTATGGATCTGTCTCCCCGCTGCACCTGCGCTGCAACATCTGTGACTTTGAGTCCAACAGCAAGGAGAAGATGCAGCTGCATGCCCGGGGCTCAGCCCATGAAGAAAACAGCCAGATCTATAAGGTGAGGCTGGGTGGGGAGGGGCTGGGGGGCCGAGGGAAGGGAGAAACCCAGGATGTGCGCACCCAGGGGACAAGGTGTTCAGACAGACGGGAGAAAGAGAGAAACCAAAGGACAGTGGCCTCTGATGAAGTGAAGACTTTATTCAGCTCTCCTGGTGTTTGGGCTGGAGGGAGGGGTCCGTGCCAGCTCAGTCCACGTGTCACTGTTGAAGGTTCAAGAGGATGCACCCACATGCCATTCACCACGAGGAGGGTGCAGGATTGGCAGGAGGAAGAGGAGACTGTAGTACTCAGGGGGCGATAGGAGGGAAGAGGGGGCTCAAGTCGGGGGAAGCAGGTGCTGCTAGTCAGGCTCCCGTAGGGGAGGCAGAGATGTCCCCTGTGATACGGCGCCGTCCCTTCCGGGCCTGAGCCAGCCTCTTGCTGTGTTTCTAGTTTCTGCTGGAAATGGAGGGAGCAGAGGCAGGGGCCGAGCTGGGGCTGTACCGCTGCCTGCTGTGTGCCTGGGAGACGCCCTCCCGCTTGGCAGTGCTGCAGCACCTGCGCGCACCTGCGCACCGCGACGCCCAGGCCCAGAGGCGTCTGCAGCTGCTACAGAGCGGCCCGGCAGCCGAGGAAGGACTGGCAGCTCTGCAAAGCATCCTGAGCTTCAGCCACGCGCAGCTCCGGGCTCCCGGTGAGGAACACGCGGGCTGGGCAGGGAGGCCAGGGCTGTGGAGAAAGGGGTGCAAGGGAGGAGAGGTGGGGCTGTGAAGGGATGGTGGGACAGGGCGGGGCTTCAGGAGGGAGGGGAAGGAGGAGGCAGGCATCATGCTGCCGGTGGAGAGCAGGCCGCGAAGCGAGGGGAGAGACTGGTGTCCTAGCAACGCTGGGCATGGGGGTGGCAGGCTGGAGCTGGCCAGGAAGGAGAGAGAAGAGGGCAAGAGGGACACGGATGGAGTCTGCTCCATGCTGGGCCAACACCTGTTGGAAGAAGCCAAGTGCCGTGAGCATGCTCCAAAGGCAGTGGGAGTGGGAAGAGGCCCTGACAAGCTTCCCGGCCTCTTACGGTCTCCTAGGAGGTCTTCATCCCTAAAGCAGGGCTGAGGTTGTAGCAGCAGAGGTGAGGAAGAGCCAGCCAGGCACTACTGACGCAGAGGGTGCAGGAGCAGAGCCCGGAAGGGGCTGTGGGAGGTGGGCACCAGCGGCCGGGCTTTCCAGAGGCCAGCAGTGGGCGAGGGCAAGGGCACGGGCAGCGGGAACCAGGAACAGGCGGCATTGACTGGTGCTAATTGAATTGCCAATATGCCGGCTGGAGTTAAGTGCTGGAGGGGGCCCAGATCAATAGCTAACGATCCTGGCGCAGGGCTGAATGGAGTTAAGGAACTTTAACACTTTAATTAGGCCGCCACCGAAAATAAATTCCTACACATCTGTCAATTCTTGCTTGAGTGCTAATCTCCCTGCTGGACCTTCCGCCTCCTGCTTCCCATTCCACCTCCGCGTCCCTCTTGGGGGCCCTCCTACCACATTTCTGGGCCCCCCACTTTCAGGGTCGGCAGAGGCGGGCAGGGCGCTGAGTTTGGTTCTGTTTCTGTCGCCTACTGCTGCACACGCCCAGCACGACCTTGGGCCCTGCCAGCTCTAATCCAGTGGCTCTTCGCCCTCTCCTGCGAGTTGAGTCATGCAGCCTTTTTGTCTTTCGTGACTGGCTGCTTTCCGGCCTCCTCAGCCCCATGTCCTCCCCTCCCTGAGGGTCACCTCTTTACCCCGGCCCTCCCCTGTTCCTGCACAGGGAAAGCTCCTGTCATCCCCTCGGCCGAGCCGCCCACCCCTGAGAAAGATGCCCAGCACAAGACAGAACAAGCGGGTGAGTCGCTCAGTGGATGCGCTACCCCTCCCCCCAGACCTCATACTCTCTGAGACGCCCGGGACCTTGCAGTAAGGCAGGTGCAAACCTGATGGGGGGGGGGGGGGCTCGTCGGGAGGAAAGCATGCCGAGCCGCAGAAGGCCAGGTCTTCCGCCCTCTCTGGGCACCCACACCTGGCCATCCTGCTCACCTGCCTACTGACCTTCCTGCCCTTCTCCCTCCCTTTTTCCTTAAGCCCACCTCCCCGCCCTGGAAGCTGTATGCTACACATCATCTTAGGGGCTGGGGGCTGTGAAATGAAGGGGGTGGGCTGTCTGAGACCCTCAATCTTCTCTCCCTTCATCCTCAGCTTCTGAAGAGGCGGAGAACAAGACTGGCCCTTCCAGAGACGGTGCCAACCAGACCACGGTCAGAACTGGGGCCACGGGGCGGAGCCGAGGCAGGGTCGGGCTTGCCTGAGATCCGCTCATACCCCCAAGGCAGCCCCAGTGCTGTCATACTTGCGGCTTACTGCTCTCGCCTGGGTCCAGTGACATTTTTCGCACACACTGGGCAGAGCTGGCCCCAAGGGGTGAAGCACAGAGGGAAAGGAGATGAAGGGATGACAGGAACGGAAGGAGAGGCAAAGAGAGGGGCTGAGCAGACGGCAGGAAAGACTGGAGGTGGACAGAGGAAGGAGGCGAGGAAAGAAAGGAAGGAATGGAAGGAAAAGGGCAAAACCCAAATACTCACTGCTGCCCCACCCCAGGAACCCTGAGACGGAACTGTCTTGGGACTCCCTTGCTGGGACCCCAAGCAAATGATTCACCATGACAACAAGCACCACACAGCGAAGTCCCCGATCCCCGGACCTGGGCAGCTGTTTTGCTCTGTGGCCTGAAAGTGTTGATTCTGAGCGGGTTCCCAGCCTCTGCTTTTGAGACGCGGTCCTGGGCCTCCGGGCCCTCCCGACCGCACGGCCCTGGGCTGTACTTGTTACCACTGTGCCGTGCAGTAGGACTGCGTCACTGCCAGCTGCAGACACGCCCCAGGTGCTCGGCCTCTTCCTCCTAACTCCCGCTCCCTCCAGCACACCTGTTCCAGATGTCTGCCGAGGGCCAGGTGTGTTAAGATGAGCATCTGGATCCCATCCCCTCCCTCCCACACAGGCCTGCTTTCTAGGAGGCAGGTGAGGTGGTGGCCTCAGCCAGGCCTCTATCCCATGCAAGGGCAGTGCCAGCTTTTGAGACTTGTGGTTGCCCAGGTGTTTCCTGTCTGGCTCCTTCTAAACTGGGAATGGGGCCCAGCGTGCACTCAGGAATCCAAGGTACCGTGGGGTGGCGGGTCCCTGCCTTCCCATGACACCTCCTCTGCCACCTGTATTGCCCCTAGGTGTACTGCTGTCCATACTGCAGCTTTCTGAGCCCAGAGTCTGACCAGGTGAGAGCTCATACACTCTCCCAGCATGCAGTGCAGCCCAAATACAGGTGTCCGCTGTGCCAGGAGCAGCTGGTGGGCCGGCCTGCCCTGCACTTCCACCTCAGCCACCTTCACAACGTGGTGCCCGAGTGCGTGGAGAAGCTGCTGCTGGTGGTGAGCAGGGGCAGGGGAGGAAGGGTCGGGGTTCCCGCGCAGGGAAGCACAGCACAGGGTCTTTTAGCGAAGCTCAGAGCTGAGAAAGCTACACACCTTGCTCACTTCCTGAAGTCCTGGGGAGCAGGGCAGCAGGCACAGGCCTGCCAGGGTCAGGCAGCCTGGAGCAAAGAGGGAGCCAACGGGGAGGGGCAGCAGCTGTGGCTGGCCCCCAGCTGTGGGAAGGGCAGGAATTGGGGGGGGGGGTTCTGTCCAGACAGGAGGCCGGATCCATGAAGAAGGAGCTTGGTGCAGGTCTGGGTATGGGGCGGATGGGTCAGGTGTGACCTCGTGGGTGGTGGAGAAGCCACTAGGGTGTCTGCCGTCACAGGCCACAACAGTCGAGATGACCTTTACAACCAAAGTGCTGCCGGGGCCCACGCTGAGCCCCCCGGAGGACGGCCCTGAGCCCCCCACCCCTGGGCCAGAGCATACGGTCAGCAGAGAGCAGGCAGCAGGTAAGGCAGGGGACAGCAAGGGCACCTGGGCTCCAGGGACCAGGAAGGGCTAGAGACAACTGAGCCATCACAGCCTCTTCTGTCTCCTCAGAAGGCCCCAAGCTGCCCCCAGAAGCCAGTCCAGATCCTCTTCCCGAGCCTGCGCTGGCCCCAGTCGAGGTCCCGGAGAAGACCTCAGGAAGCCCGGATCCAGCCCCTTCACCAGCCGCCTCTCCAGTGCCCCGGCCTGACGCTCAAGCTGAAGAAGTGGCCCCTCCACCCACCACAGCCGAGGAGGAAGAGGGGAGCATGGGGGAGCCCCGCTCTGCAGAGCCCACGCCAGCTGACCCTCGCCACCCTCTGACCTACCGGAAGACCACGAACTTTGCCCTGGACAAGTTTCTCGACCCTGCGCGGCCCTATAAGTGCACCGTGTGTAAGGAGTCCTTTACACAGAAGAACATCCTCTTGGTTCACTACAATTCTGTGTCCCACCTGCATAAGATGAAGAAGGCCGCCATCGACCCCTCTGCCCCTGCCAGGGGAGAGCCGGGGGCCCCGCCCACTGCTGCCACCGCCGCAGCTGCCGACAAGCCCTTTAAATGCACCGTGTGCCGAGTCTCCTACAACCAGAGCTCCACCCTGGAGATCCACATGCGTTCGGTTCTGCATCAGACTCGTTCTCGGGGGGCCAAGGCTGACGCCAAGGCCGAGGGGCAGGAGCGTAGCCAAGAAGAACCCAGGGACGGCGAGAGCGAAGGGGAGGTGGGCGCCGAGAAGAAGGGTCCCGACCCCGGTAGCTTCGTGTCCGGATTGCCCTTCCTGTCCCCTCCGCCCCCTCCCTTGGACCTGCACCGATTCCCAGCGCCCCTCTTTACCCCGCCAGTCCTGCCCCCCTTCCCTCTGGTGCCCGACTCACTGCTCAAGCTCCAGCAGCAGCAGCTGCTCCTGCCCTTCTACCTCCACGACCTCAAGGTGGGGCCCAAGCTGGCGCTCGCTGGGCCTGCGCCCATGCTGACCCTGCCGGCCGCCACCCCTCCTGCCCCGCCCCCGCCCCCCAAAGCTGAGCTGGCCGAGCAGGAGTGGGAGCGGCCCCCCGCAGCCGCCGAAGAGGGGCCCGAGGCAGGGCCCTCCTCACCTCCCCACCCCTCGCCCAACGAGGCCGCCCGCACCGCAGCCAAGGCCCTTCTGGAGAATTTCGGCTTTGAGCTGGTGATCCAGTACAACGAAGGGAAGCAGGCTGCGCCGCCGCCCCCGACGCCCCCTCCGCCAGAGGCCCCAGGGGGCGGGGACAAGCTGGCCTGCGGGGCCTGTGGGAAGCTCTTCTCCAACATGCTCATCCTTAAGACCCACGAGGAACACGTCCACCGCCGCTTCCTGCCCTTCGAGGCCCTGAGCCGGTACGCTGCCCAGTTCCGCAAGAGCTACGACAGTCTCTACCCGCCCCCCGCAGAGGCCCCCAAGCCTTCCGCTGGGTCTCTGGATACACCTGCTCCCCAGCTGGGCCCGCCCTTCCTGGTCCCGGAGCCCGAGGCAGGGGGCCCCCGGACCCTTGAAGAGCGGAGCCGGACAGGAGGACGCTGGCTCCCGGAGGAGGAAGAGAGCTCCAGGGGGACTCTCCCTTCCCTGGTGCCCGCGGGCCGCCGCTTCTCCAGAACCAAGTTCACGGAGTTCCAGACCCAGGCCCTGCAGTCTTTCTTTGAGACCAGTGCCTACCCCAAGGATGGAGAGGTGGAGCGCCTTGCCAGTCTCTTGGGTCTGGCTAGCCGTGTGGTGGTGGTGTGGTTCCAGAATGCCCGCCAGAAAGCCCGGAAAAATGCCTGCGAGGGGGGACCCGTGCCAACCGGAGGGGCTGCCGGGGCGGCCTCTGGCTGCAGGCGCTGCCATGCCACCTTCTCCTGCGTGTTTGAGTTGGTGCGGCACCTTAAGAAGTGCTACGATGACCAGACCCCCGAAGAGGAGGAAGAAGAGGCAGAGAGAGGAGAAGAGGAGGAAGAAGCAGAGGCGGAGGAGGACGTTGCGGAGGAGGAGCAGGGCCTCGAGCCCCCGGCAGGGCCTGCGGGTCCGCCCCCGGCAGCTCCGGATGGGGAGGAGCGAAGCCAAACCCAGGCAGCAGAGGTGGCCAGCAAAGAGCCTGAAGGGAAGGCGCCGCCTTCGCCAGCGCCAGCGCCAGCGCCAGCCCACCCCTGTGACCAGTGCGCTGTCTCCTTCCCCAGCCAAGACCTCCTGACCAGTCACCGCCGGCTGCATTTCCTGCCGGCTGTGCAGCCCAGTGCTCCTACCCAGCTACTAGATCTGCCCTTGCTGGTGTTCGGAGAGCGAAACCCCCTGGTAGCAGGTACCCCGCCGGCACCGGGGCCACCCCTCAAACGGAAGCACGAGGACGGTAGCCTGTCCCCCACTGGTAGCGAAGCCGGGGGTGGCGGGGAGGGCGAGCCCCCCAGGGACAAGCGCCTGCGTACCACCATCCTGCCCGAGCAGCTGGAGATCCTGTACCGCTGGTACATGCAGGACTCCAACCCCACACGCAAGATGCTCGACTGCATCTCCGAGGAGGTGGGGCTGAAAAAGCGAGTGGTGCAGGTCTGGTTCCAGAATACCAGGGCCCGCGAGAGGAAAGGCCAGTTCAGAAGCACCCCTGGGGGGGTGCCCAGTCCAGCAGTGAAACCGCCTGTCACGCCCAGCCCTGCCCCTTTCCCCAAGTTCAACCTCCTACTGGGCAAGATCGATGATGGGCCTGGGAGGGAGGCCCCAAAGAGGGATGCACCTGCTTTTCCCTACCCCACAGTCCCGCCTGCCTCTGGGCCCCCGCCTTTCCTACCGCCTGGGAAAGAGGCCACCACCCCAACACCAGAGCCACCCCTGCCTCTCCCGCCTCCTCCACCCCCACCCCCACCCCCTCCCCCCAGTGAGGACGAGGGCCCAGAGGAACCATCTAAACCTTCTCCGGAGAGTGAGGCTTGCAGTCCGTCTGCAGGAGATCTGAGTGACTCGTCGGCTTCCAGCCTGGCTGAACCAGAGTCCCCAGGAGCTGGGGGGACCAGCGGGGGAGCAGCAGGCGGGCCTGGGGTTCCAGACGGAATGGGGCAGCGGCGCTACAGGACCCAGATGAGCAGCCTGCAGCTGAAGATCATGAAGGCCTGCTACGAAGCCTACCGTACCCCCACCATGCAGGAGTGCGAGGTGCTGGGGGAGGAGATCGGACTGCCCAAGAGAGTTATCCAGGTCTGGTTCCAGAACGCTCGTGCCAAGGAAAAGAAGGCCAAACTGCAGGGGGCGGCCGCTGCGGGGGCTGCAGCCAGCAGCGAGGGCCCACCGGCAGCCCAGCGCACGGACTGCCCCTACTGTGACGTCAAGTACGATTTCTACGTCTCCTGCCGAGGCCATCTCTTTTCCCGCCAGCACCTGGCCAAGCTCAAGGAGGCAGTCCGGGCCCAGCTGAAGAGCGAAAGCAAGTGCTATGACTTGGCCCCAGCACCCGAGGCACCTCCGGCTCCCAAGGCCCCACCTGCCACCACACCTGCCTCTGTGCCCCTCGGGGCCACCCCAGCCCTGCCTCGCCTGGCCCCGGTCCTCTTGTCTGGCCCAGCTCTGGCCCAGCCCCCGCTGGGCGGCTTAGCTCCTTTTAATTCAGGTGAGTGGGGAAGCTGGGAGGAGTTGGACTTCAGAGAACAGCTCCCTGTAATGGCACGCCCATTTCCCTCTTGACTCTTGTCCCGTCCTCACCTCCTCCTGTGGCCTCCCTTTGCTTCAGGCTCCTGGAGGAGAGGGGGCTTGGAAGCTGGGTGATGGGAATGGGTAAGTATGTGGCTGGAGGTAGTCTCTGGCAGGAGAGGCTGGCGGAGGCTGGCGGTGCCTAACCCTTCACCGCTCTCTCATCTCCCTAGGCCCTGCAGCCTCCTCAGGCCTCCTCGGCCTTGCCACTTCGGTCCTGCCTGCTACCACAGTGGTCCAGACTGCTGGCCCAGCCCGCCCTTTACCTCAGAGACCCGGGCCCGACCAAACCAACACTTCCGCAGCAGCAGGCACCACCGACCCCGTCCCGGGCCCGCCTCCCGAGCCCCCAGGGGACAAGGTCTCCGGTGAACGAAAGCCGCCTGGGGCCCCTGCCAACTCCTCCACTGATGCCCTCAAGAACCTCAAAGCACTGAAGGCCACTGTCCCAGCCCTGTTGGGGGGCCAATTCCTGCCCTTCCCATTGCCCCCTGCAGGGGGGGCGGCTCCGCCAGCTGTCTTTGGCCCCCAGTTACAGGGCGCCTACTTCCAGCAGCTGTACGGCATGAAGAAGGGGCTGTTTCCCATGAACCCCGTGATACCTCAGACCCTCATTGGGCTGCTCCCCAATGCCCTCCTCCAGCCACCGCCCCAGGCCCCCGAACCCACAGCCACAGCGCCTCCAAAGCCTCCTGAACTGCCCGCCCCAGGAGAGGGCGAGGCCGACGACCTGCTGACGGGCAGCCCCGGCATCTCCACGGTGGACGTGACTCACCGCTACCTGTGCCGCCAGTGCAAGATGGCGTTTGATGGGGAGGCCCCGGCTACTGCCCACCAGAGGTCCTTCTGCTTCTTTGGGCGGGGCTCTGCGGGCTCCATGCCGCCCCCGCTGCGGGTGCCCGTTTGTACCTACCACTGCCTGGCATGTGAGGTGCTGCTGAGTGGGCGAGAAGCCCTGGCCTCCCACCTGCGCTCCTCGGCCCACAGGCGCAAGGCGGCCCCGCCCTCCGGGGGCCCACCCACCACTGTCACCAACGCTGCCACTGCTGCCACAGCTGCTGTGGCTTTTGCCAAAGAGGAAGCAAGATTACCTCACACGGACTCCAACCCAAAAACTACTACTACCTCTACACTTCTAGCTTTATAAACAGATAAACCAAGATAGGGAGAGGGGAGGGCCTCAGGGCGCCCTCTTTTGCCCCAAGGGGTGTTTGGGGGGAGCTCAGATCCCTCACCCCAACCCTCGGCTCCGCCCACCTTGTGGGAATCTCCACTCCCACCCTCTGTGGGCTTCACACCCCACCTCCAGCAGAGTCCCGCCTCCTCCCCCAGACCCACACACATGCACACACACCCTCACCCGCCAGTCCTCGCAGATGGAGCCCTCAGCCCAGCTCTTTCCTGAGGACTCACACGTGCCCGCCCGCCCGCCATATGCAACAGCGAGCCTTGGTTCCATCTTCCTCCCCACTGAACTCCCAGCGCGCCCCCATTCCTGTAAACACACACACACCACCCCGTGCTACTCCACTGAGAAAACACCAAAAAAAAAAAAAAAAAAAAGCAGCAGCAGCAGAAGCAGCAGAAGAAAACCCAAGACAAAGAGGGGGAGAAGAAAACAAATGAACTGCCACTCCCTCTTCTCCTTCCTCCCCCGTTAGAGCGCCACACCGCTCACAGACTTTCCAAATACCCAGCTGGCTCCCAGGGCTGGGGCCCGGAGGGCAGGGAGCCCTTGGGACTCTAACCAAACTGGAGGTTGCGGGGAGACATGGGGGCAGTGCTCCCAGTTCCTGCTCCCCGGCTCCCTCCTCCCTGCAGCCTGGACTCGGGGAAGCCGCTGCCAGGAAGCCCTCTGCCAGCCCCCTCCCTGCACCCTGGGAACTGCAGCAACTTATTCTCAAAGGCTTTAAACCGAGATCCTCTCAGCAGCTGTGGGCCTGCCCCTTGTCCTAGCCCTGTCACATGGTGGGGGGGAGGGGGCCAGCCTCCCGGGACCAGCGCTGCCCACCAATGGCAAATCCAAAGTTCTTTTAAAAAAAAAAAACTGAAACACACACACAACCAAAAAAAAAAAAAAAAAAAAGAAACCCCAACTAAACAAAAATGAGAGTGCATGTGCACATAGGCACGACGGAGAGATGGAGAGACCAGAGGAATGAACTAAAAAACTTGAAAATACAGAGAAAAAAACTCTCCCACCAAAAAAGTGGTTTTTCCTGTCTGTGTAACTTGCCCCCTTCTTCAGGGCTTCTGTAAGCCAGCTCGCCTCTGGAAGATGGATGGCTTCACCCCTGGCTGTGGGTCCGGGGTCCTCACAGGACCGTAAGCAGGGCAGCCTTCCCATGCCAGCCCGTCTCAGAGGTGGGGGCTGGGAGCGGCGAGACTCCCCGAAATTGAGTACTTATCAGGACAGGTAGCATCCCCTTGTTCCCGGCTGTGAGTTAGAAAAGTTTGTTGCCAAGAGAATCGTGGCAGTCCCAGGAATCAAAGGGTATGTGGGGCCACGTGGTTTGTCAGCCCGAGGCGTGCTTACCTCCTGGCCACCGCCCTCTTCTCTCACTTACTTCGTTCACAGACCACTTGCAGGGTCCCCTGTTTCCCATCTGCTTCCCTCCCCCTCATCTTCTGCCCTGCTTCCTACCCCCTGCAGCCCAGCCAGCTCCTCCACAAAGCCCCAGGAGGCAGGACCCACCTGAGGGGTCCAGAGCTGATGTTAGGGGAGCAGATGGACGGACAAGGAGATGACTGAGGCACAGGATGAGTCTCCCTAATACCAAGGGGACCCACAGACTGACCCAGAGAAAGGGCCTCACCTGTAACTGGGCAACCCCAAAGCCCAGCTGAGCTGGCGAAGGGTAAAGAAGTAAGTGCTTTATCTTGGCAAAGAAAAGCCTGTGAAATCCCCATGCCCTCTGGACATTTTCTACTCCCTAAGACGTTTCCCCTTTCAAGGCTTTCTCCCATCCTTCCCCTGCAGGCTCCTACCGCCAGCATCCATGTCAGACCCACACACAGCCCGCCAGGCCTGGGACGTAGGTTTTCTGGTCTCTCGGTCCCTCTGCTGTGTGGCCATGCTGATGCAGAAGGAGTGGCTGATGTGCAGGAAAGAGGGGAAGGGTGCAGAATTCAGCTCACCCCCCAGTCCCCACGTAGTCTGTGAATCTCACTTCCTGTCCCATTTACTTCCGCTCGGGCAAACTGGGGATGGGGTGGAATTCGTTAAGCTGATGATACCAAAAATGCAGGTGAGAGGAGAAGAGCGGGCGCCCTGTGCTTGAGCCTGCTGCCACCCTCCTCCCCCTGCCTCTCAGCGTCTCTCTTGTACCCTCTGTCCCTGTCCTTTTCTCTCTACTGCTGAAATTCTGTGTATAAAACTATTTTCTTAGCAGCATGTGTATGAGGAAAGAAGCTTTTTCACTCTGTGCTTTCTGGGAATGTGACTTGTGTATAAAAAAAAAAAATGAGAACAAGAGGAAACGTTTTAAAGAAACCCTTGACAAACACCTGGCGTGGGGTGGTTACAGGCGCAGTGTCGGGAATTCTAGGGGTTGGCAACCAAGGTAGGCTGGCTGCAGTTTGAACTGTGACATTTTCACTAGGAGTTAACATAGCCAGAAATCTCAGCTCTTGCCCTCCAAAGTATTTTCCTATACCATGGACATTCAAAACAGCAGGCAGGAGTTCACTCAAAGCAACTGTACTTACCTGGGACCCTGGAGAGCAGGGAGAAACAAGCCTGGCTGACTGCTGACATGGGCTGACCCTCGTGTGTCTCGTTCCTGGTAGCTGGAAGCCTTGCTCCTGAGTGCCTGTCTCAGCCCAGAAGTCCTGAGGGGCAGCACTCCTGCTCCGGCGGGCAACACCTAGTGGCTGTTGTGGTGGACAGGGGGCTGAGTCAGCACAGCCCCTGCTGAGTGCTGGAGGTACCCGCCAGGTCACCAGGATTAAGTCACATTGCCTCTCCAGTGGAGTGACAGACTCGGCGCGAGTGCTTGGCACAGCAACACCTATTGTACAGACCCTCCCCTACCATCCCTGAAGTGAGCCTGGTTCATAAAAGCAGGCTTCTGTGGCTTGGGGCAAAGTCCTAGGGCTTCTGTCCTATATGGTCCCATGGAAGTACCCAAATTAAAGTCTACCCTCCTCACCACCAGGGTAAATACCGGGAGGTAGCAAGTGGCAATAGCCTAGAGCTGTTTATTCTAAGCCAGAGTCTGAGAGGATGGCTCAGGGTGCCCAGTCCTCAACTAGCAACAAGAACCAGTCTGCTGGAAGAGGCTGAGAAGACCTGAAGCCTTACTGGCCAGGGTCCGCAACAGGATCACAAAATGAAACCCGCTCTTACCTTGCTCCCGCCCGGCGGAGTCCGTAAGAACCAACAAAGCCAATGCTCCAGGCTCAGGGCTCATGGAACAGGTCCGCGGCCACCCGGACCTCCACCACCCGGACATGTTTCACGACACAGTCCTTCACCCTCTGATCCTCCGTCTCTGTGAGACAGTCACGCCTGCAATACAGAGTGTCTTGTACACAACTCCAGCAGTGGATCAGGCGGGCACACCCTCGGGAAGCAGCAGCAGAGACCACACACGGGCCAGCAGGATGGAGCTTGATGAACGTGAACATGGCACACCCCAGACCCATAACCCACGCTCCTGGAGGTGTAAACACCCTCCAGGTGTTTACACGCTGAGTTTCCTCACACAAAAGGAGGCTGGGAAAGCTAAAAATAGAGAAAGAGGAGAACTCCAGTCCCAGGAAGGGCGCTTCACCACTAACCCTGGGGGAAAGGACCTCAAATTCTCCTGGATGCTGCAAGGGGAGAGGTGGAGGGAAATCCAAGGGAGACTGTTAGGAAAGCTCAAAGGGCATCTGTCTGGAACACAGGGGTGAACCGGGCTGGCAGCCTGGGTAACACGGAGAGCCTGGCGTTGGGGAAACAGTTCTCGCAGAAGCCTCCAAGTCAGAAACTTGCACACACGAGGCTGGCATTTCTCAGACTGCTGGGGAGAAACGCCCCGGTACCAAGGAGGCTGTGGATGCAGCCTCAGAGTTCACAGGGTTACAGCTGGGGCACACCATGCTGGAAAATCAGAGAAGACACCTGGAGGAGACCTAGGCTGTGGCCCATGCAGTGTGGGGGAAGATGGCGCGCTTCCCCAGGGAAAGCCCCTCCTGGGAGAGACTTTGTGGGAAGAACATCAAATTGAGTGACCTTGAACTAGAGGACCCAGACAGCCCTCCATACACCGCACAGACAAGGACCTGGACCTTTTGTTTGTTGCAGTTCCCCAGGCTGGCTTGAAGCCAGAAATAGAAGCAGCAGCAGGTTGAGTGATTATAGGTGGACCAGCAAGAAGCTGAACCTGGCCAAGGAGAGCAGGGAAGGTGACGCAGCACCCGGGTTGACTTACAATCAATCCTACAACCAAGAGCACATTCTTACACAAGCCATGGCTACCACGCCGACTCGAGTGTTAACAGCAGGGCCTGCCTCTCATCGATAGTCCCTCCCACACACCGTGTCTTCTCAACTGGACTTGAAGAATGGCCCACACTGGACGTCCCCACCAAGTGTCCACACAGCTGCAGCATCTGCAATTGCTGACTGTGGGCAGTGAGCTGGGCCCCACCCTCTGCCCGCCCCTGCCTGCCAGGACCCCGGCCTGCCTCCGGGAAGAAGAGTGACAGGACCCATCCTGTCCCTCGAAACGAAATCCAGACAGATCTGATAGATCACTGAGAAGTCTCTTGGCCATGCTCCTAACCTAGTGGTCCTCAAGGATGAGGTTTCAGAAACACATGGGCAGGCATCAGAATCTGGGGGTGAAGGAAGAGTGACTTTTGAAAGTGTCCCCAAAACAATTTTTTCACGCTCATTACCGCTGACAAGAATCCCTGTTCTAACAAGTTACCTGCACCTGCTTTGACCTGTGTCTTCCTGCCCACAGCAAACCTCACCCAGGCGTGTTCCATGACGTGTACCCCAGGCAGGGATACTGTACGACAGCATACAGTCATGCATCTTGCTGGGAAAGAAGATGCAAAAAATCTAGGGAAATCCAGACTAGACCAACTGTCCTACGGGGGGCTGCCACCTCTTTGAATGGCCTATCTGAAAGTTTCTTCCACCTACATGATGGTCCCCTGAGTCCTTATTTAAAATGCACATTCCTAGGCCCCACCACAGATCAACTGAAATTCCTACAGTGATGCTGTGCTCGTTGGAGTGAGTGAACCACTGGCCAGAGAGCTCACTCTCACCCCACCCCACCCCCATGAAAACCTTCAACCTGCCCCGGTGCTGCAGCACCCAGGACCAACCCTGCTACACCAGGGCCTGCCATACAGGGGCCTCGCATCCCCTCATCTGTGTCTCACTACCCTGATGCCATCCCCCCACCCTGCCACATAACAGAGATCTGACAGTGTCTTCTGCTTACGTCGGCTGGTGTTGAATAGGAGAAAGGACAGAAGCGTAGCCACTCAGCCCTTGGCTGGCTGCCTTTCTCCTCTGCTGTGTGAACTGCCTCGCCTCTTCTGAAGCTGCCACCCACTTCCAGAGGTGCTGCCACGAGCCCCCCATCCCTGAGCAGTTCAGTTCAGCACAGGCACTGAATGGCTTCACTTCCCTCTGGGCAAGCCCTCTCTGCCGGAGCCACCCACCCTCCCCGTCACCATCACCCAGAGCCAGATTTCCCACCAGAAGAACCAGACTCTGGCTACGAGGAGGCAGGGAAGCAGAGCCTGCTAGAATTTATTACAGGCCCAGCTTTGTGGGGACCTGTCTGTGTCACCCTACATGTTGGGGATTCTCCTCCTAGGGGCCTTCCTCTCCACCAGGGCTCGTGGCTAATCCTCGGGCCCCCTTCCAGAGGCAGATGTCAAAGATAGGGAAGCGTACCCAACTCCAACTGGGTGCCATTGAGAAATTCCAAAACACAAAATGTTCTTGCACAGTCTTTCCCAGGTGCCTGTGTCTTCCTAACACCAGCCCACCTCTCTGGTCCTCTTTCTAAGATTGTTCTCGAGTATGGACCTTTCAATAAATGAGAGGGAACTACATCTCCGCCGCAGCTCAGCCAATCACAGCGCACACAGCAGAATGAAACACACTCAAGTACAAACCCCCATCCAGCAGCGAGGCCCGAGGGCCTCTCCTTCCTGCTCTTCCCTTCCAACCTCTTCTCCCAGTAGCTGGCATGGCTCTCCCCAGGCTCTCTTTTCACCCTCCTAGGATTTGTTTCTGCCTTGCTGCTCAGAATGATGGACAGTCCATTGACCTGGAGGACGACTTGGGGATGGCCACAGCCTGTGCCCTTGTCCCTCTGTGCTCTTTCCTTGCCTAGTCGCTCAAACCCTGAGTACGGTCCCGTCTGAGTCCTTTTCTCAAAGGCGGTAGGGGTAGAAGGGAGGTGGGGTGTCCAGTGGAGAGGAAGGCAGGGCAGGGGTTGTCTGGGGGTACTGACTCAGCCCAGCTGTTGGGGCATCGTTTCAAGCCACTTCCCATCACAGAGCTCCACCCAATGCCTGGCACTTGCATGTGCATGGCCCCTCTCACTGCCGCCGAGTGGCGGTGTAAGCATGTTTGGCGACTTTGGGTTTGCCGCAGCGCCAGGATCTGAGACACCATTCACGTGCCAGTGCAGCACTGCCAAGCATGGCGGCATCCAGTTGGTTGGGTGCCAAGCGGTAGGACCCAGGTGGTGATGGAAAGATGAAAGAGGGGTGAGGCGAAGGGGTGGGGGGAGGAGAGGAAGGCCCCAGGGAGAAAAATCAGACACTTCACTTGTTAGAGTGGAGAGTCCGAATGGGATCCACCGAGAGGTGCCCTTCCCACCCTAGAGCCCAGCTCAGCAAGCAAGCTCTTCCCCCACCCCCCACGCCCACAACAGTGGTACACACAGACCCGGCGAGAGGAGCTGGCCATCTTCCGCAAGAAACTGGCTAGGGGCCAGGCAGCACTGCCAGCCGCTCTCCATCCTTCTTCGTTGGGGTCTTGGCAATGGCGCGCTTCCTCCTTTGTGTCCTCACAACGCTCTCCGTCTGTTGCTCCTCTCCCCACGCCTAAGAGGGATGGGAAGGAGTCCTGGCAGAAAGAAGTCTGCTCTCCCAAACAACACCCCCACCGCATCTCACCTCCTCCCTTCTCACTTCTGGCACAACAGCCCTCTCAATCGGATTGGCAGGAGCCCCTGACACCCTCCTGTATCCCACACAATGCCAGAGCCTGTGCCAGGCTCCATGGGCAGTGCCAGTGCCTCCCACTTCCCACCCTAGACCCCTCGCTGTCTCCCATCACTCTCTGACAAAGGGCCAGACCCCATCCCAAACAAGTTCTTCCTGGAGAGCGCTGGCACAGTCCCTCCTCCCTGGCTTTCCCACTCCTCTGGGCACACCGCTGGCCACTCTCTCCACCACACTACTTCCTCAGGCTGGAAGAGAGCTGGCCACATCATCATCCCGCCACTGCTCAAAGCCAAGCTTCCAGAGGGACAGTAACACCAGCAACACACTCCTGCCCCTCCTCTCTGCCTCCTGGGTCCCCCATTCCCCACTGCCCCAGCGCTGGGCACCAGCCTGACAGATGTGATGCCAACAGCTCCATGTCCGCGCCTTCCTTCCAGAACACGGGGACTCCCGCCGCTGCCCTCTTCCATGAGCCTCCTCCCATCTCTGTGGGCAGAGGGGTGGCAGCTGCAGTGCCAAAGCCTGCAAGCCGACAGCATGAAGCAACTCATGCCCCCTCTTCTCCCCTCCCGGGCCCCACACCGTCCCCCTCCAGCTCCCACTCCATCCTCAGTCCTTCTGGTTGGACACTAGATTGGCAACCGCGATGCCAACCCCCACCCATGCCCAGGAGGCTCGCATACAGCACACGCTTATTCGTACACGTACATGCGCGCGCACACACACACATACACACACACACGGCCCCATGAGTGCCAGGCAGCGGTGGCAGACACACAGCAATGCACAGTGACTGGTACCCGAGGAGGCAGCCAGATTCGGCACCTGATTCAGCACCCATTTGGGATTGGGTGGGTAGGCGGGCGGGCGGAAGGGTGATGGAGGCAGACGATGGCCCTAGGTTGGCAGCCGATGGAGCTGGGAGAATGGAGGGAACAGATGCTCTTTGCCCAGCCTCCCTCCCTCTCTCTCCCCGAGATCAGTGCCAAGCTGGGGGGATGGGGAGGGGGAGGATGGGGGAAGGGTGGCATTTGGAGAGCTGGCAGGCGGAGGGAGCTGGGTCCGCCCAGGCTGGGCAGTGCCGGCACTGGCTGCCGCCTCTCCACTCTGCCATCTGTCTCGCTTCTCTCCCCACCCCCTTTCTCTCTCTTTCTCTCTCTCCTTCATCCACAGCAAAACGAAAAGAGGAAAACAGGGTCCTCATTCCGCCCACCCCCAACCTCTGCAGACCCCCTCTCTCCCCCCACAACTCACCACACCATACCACCACCAAGCCATCTGCGCTCTCTCCTCCTGGCTCGGTCACCTTCTTGCACTCGCCTTCGCCCTCACGCCAAAACGGGTGCAATTTTAAAAATACACATATACACACACGTATATGTATATTTTTAAAGCAACTTAAAAGCAAAACTATTTTCTTTGGAATGCCCCGTCCTTCTGAATCTGGGTCTTCGGTGCCAATATTTATGGCAGGCAGAGGGAGGGGACCTTGTCCTCAGCTGGTGCCCATGACTCCCATGCCAGGGAGGAGGGGTGACTGGGGTGGGGTGGGGGTGGGGTGGGGTATCGGGAGAGCTCTCCTCTCTCTGCGCCTGTGGTTGTTCCTTTTTTTTTTTTTTTTCCTCCTCTTCCACTTCCGGAGCAGATTCAAATAGATCTAGAGCCTTCCCCACCCCCAGCCCCACAGCCCCAGTTCCCAGGGCCCCTGTGCCCTTCTCTCTCTGCTTTTGATTTTATTCCTCGATCACCCCTTCCTTTTTGTGTGTGTGTGTACGTGTGCGTGCGCGCGAGTGTGTTTGCATCTATGGCGGTGGGCACCGTGCCAGCCACCGCACAGCCATCTGCGATGCCTTCTGCAGCCTCCGCCAGTTCTCCCTGCCACCTCCAGCCCCAACCCCCCTGCACCCCAGCTCCCAACCCCCCCAGTCCCCAATCATTAATTAGCTACTGAATTAATTAAATCGTGAATGCTAATTAACATTCCTACAGCAGCTGCCAAGCGGGGGGGGGGGGGGGG